TGGCCCCGTGCTTGGCCCTGGGCAGGCCCCTATGCTGGCCCCGTGCTTGGCCCTGGGCAGGCCCCTATGCTGGCCCCGTACTTGGCCAGTTAGCAAATTCTTGCGGAAACTACATGACTTTTGCCGGCATGTGTTTTGGCCACCAGGAGCTAGAGAAGAAATTCCAGCAGACTGCTGCATACCGCAACATGAAGGAGATGCTGAGCAAGAAGAACGAGCAGATAAAGGAGATCAGGAAGCGGCTGCAAAAGTGAGCAAGAACGGCTTCCATATATATATGGCACAGAGGCACTGTGATGTAGCTGGGACATGTGTTGTGGTGATTATGTGCTGGTGTGTACCGTCCCTGCCTTGGCCTGGCATCCCATACAGGTTGTCATCTGCCATGTACCCGCTAAGTGGTCATGCAGGATCGATGACTGTTTGGTGTCATTTCTAACCAAGCATTGATTCAGCTGTGTGCCGAGTGACTGCTCAGTGTGCGCAGGCTATTGGGGGTTTGAGAGCTCTCAGTGATGAGCTGCTGCAGGCTTCAGTGCTGGCGGATGAGTCAGCAGGCTCTGTGTGTCTCACACATATGTGTGTGTGTGTGTATGTATATATGTATGTATGTATAAATGTTATATATACCCACACACACATGCAATATGTAATTTTTCCCCGTGTTTTTCTACAGGTATGAACCAGATGAATAAACCTACTGATCTGTCAAGTTGTCTAACTAAGAATCAGGAATGGCTGGGGAACAATATCTCCTGGGGCCAAATAAGACAAGGCTTAAATCCCAACAGGTCTTCATCCTAACCCTGAAATGGACCTTGCCTTGGAGGAAGAGACGTGGATTACATCATGATGTGGTGGAGATAGACTAACCCAAAGTCGAGTCCTGACCTGGGCAGCGGGGAGGGGTTTGCTGATCCGGGGGCTTTGTAGTCATTAACCTTTGCTGGGCTATTGTTGGTATTTCAGATGGCCCTCACTGGAAAGCCCAGGATTATATTTAAGGACAGCTATTCACCTGTTGTTCACTGAAGCAAATTGGTTACCCCTGATTTTATATTCTGCCTTTCGTAAGCCTGCTGGGAGAGAAGATACCCAGCATGCATTTCCCACAAATTAAATTTTTTTATGACCCTGCCCTCAATATGAGCTTGGTGTTGTAGAGTGTATGTGTGTGTGTCTCTCTCTCTCCCTCTCCCCCCCCC